GAGACGAAAAAAACTAAGTTCGAGTGCAGAAACAATTAATATTTTCATATCAGTTGGAGTTACAATTTAGAACATTTACAAATCTTAAAAGATTATATCTTAGTTGGAATTGTTGGGGCGGAGCTCTCCAATGGAGATTACTCCCCCACGCCACTACGGTAGACACACCTCTGAAGAACCCCTTCCACCTATCGCTTTCTTGGCTTCCCTCTTCCTCTGTTTCCTGAGAGTCGTGTGTTGTAGGCTCTTGATGCTGCTTGGTTGGAGGACGTGTTTCAGGTGGCCAAATTTACTGCCTTTACTCCGGTCATAATTCTCACGACTTCATTCCTGATTTTGTCCCTTGGTGTTTTGTTTACTGCTCTGCGTAGTCATCTCATTACACGTGTGGTGATTGTTATTTTTATTTTTTTTAATTGCGCGAAAAGCTACTGGAGGGCTATCTGTGTTAACTGTCCCTAATTTAGCAGTGATAGACTAGAGGAAAGGCCGCTAGTTAACACCACCCACCGCCAACTCTTGGGCTACTCTATTACCAACGAATGACGGGGTTAACCGTCACATTATAACGCTCCCATGGCTGAAAGAGCAAGCATGTTCGGTGACAGAGATTCGACCCGTCACCCGGTAATCTCCTGTCAGATCGCGTCATACCACGTGTGGTGATTTCCTGTTCATTTCTGTTATTAATGGTTCACGTTTGGTATTGGTTGGAATGAAAATTGCATTATTGATTTTACGTCAATGAAGTGTTGAGAGTGGGGTCAGCTGATGTTTGCTTTCTAGCATGGAATCAGCTTTTAAACAACAAATAACAGGTTTAACAGAAACAGTTAAAACTGAAGTATGCTTATAATATGGAACTGCTACTGGTTTTATCTGAAATAAAAAGCAGACTTAATGTTCTACATTCCTTCAGACTGACTCCATGCACTAACTTATCATCTCTGCTATAAGCTTATGTATAAATTACATCATACAATAAGCGGTTGAGGACACATTCGTGTCACATTGGGCCTGACAAGCCTAACTTTAATACACGTAGATATCTGGAAGCGTATTATCTACATAGTATCCACAAATAATTCATTCTACCTAACTTGTGTTAATATGATATATCTGCTTTAACATACGGTAACACCGTACAATCTGACTGGCAGGATAGGATTCCGTTTGTGTTGAGATGTCACTTTTATCTTTACACTAACTCATAGTTCTTTTACACATTCGCTATTTTGATCAAGAGCAGCCATGCTGTTATCTGGTTAGTTTCTGCTCTTTGGTGTTTTTCTTCTTCTCCATTGTCGAATCTGTGTGTATGTTATACATAATGCCAGTATATGTTGTTGTTTTTTATTTCTTATAGCAAAGCCACATCGGGCTATCTGTTGTGTCCATCGAGAGGAATCGAATCCCTAAGTCTAGCATTGTAAATCCGAAGACTTACTGCTGTCCCACCGGGGGACACTTAATGCCAGAAAAGAGGGTGCACCTGATATATCTATAACTCGTTTAGCTTGGTCTGGGTTCTAAACAGGTATTGCAGGTGTAAATTACTCAGGTTGAGATTTTCCTAAATATCTAATTTATACCACAAACTTCCACTTGCCACAGCACTAGTAACATTTTTACTGTTTATCTTCAGCATTTTTGAAAATGTTAAATAATGAATTTATATTTATATTTGATATTAAATCGCGATTTCCAATCACTTAACCGTAGTGATCGAACCCTGAATTTTAGCATTCTAAGCCTTTAAGATTTCCGTTCAGTCACACCGGGGTCGGCTTGGATCTGTAGCTATGAGTTTGTAGTACTTTGATTGAAAAGATATGAAACTCCCCTTACCCAATAATGTTCAACTTCGTGATTTCACTACCAATAATGTTCAACCTCGTGATTTCACCACCAATAGTGTTCAACCTCGTGATTTCACTTAAGGGAAAGTCGTTCATTACTTTATATTAAATCTAAGGTTAAAATTAAACTCGACAAAAAAAAAATAAGCAAGAATGAGGTATTTAAATAAATAACTGAGTATTCTTTTCTTCTTTTTTTTTTGGCAGATGATACAGTGTTTAAAGAAAATTGTAAAGGATCAACCAGCGGTGAGAATCGTTCAGTATATTTCGTTCATACATTGTACCTTAAATAATAACCAACGAAATATTTGTAAAAAAACCTTTATTTTATTTTATTTTTGTTCTTCATAAATATCTTCTATCTTGAAACATTAAGACATCGAAAGAGAACAATTTAAAACGTACTATTTTTTTTATTACACCTGCAACGAAAACTTTCACCATAATAAGAAGTTTTTTATCAATATAATGTGAATAACAGACTAAATACCTATATCACTCCAGATAATGCTTTTTTTGCTGATAATTCTGGTTTAGAAGACAATATCATTTATGATATTTTTAAGTTATTAATTGTCATTAGATGCTAAATGTCATATATTTAATAATATGATATACATGTATCAAGTATTCTCTCTAACAGTAATGCAATAATTTAAATCACATTTTCGTTGTTAAATATATTTCCTTCGTATCCAGGTTTTCAAAAAATTGTTACTTTTTTTTTCAACACAGTGGGACGATGAGCTATTGAAGAAAGTTAGGGTAAGTTAGGATTTTGTGTAGTTACACTTAGTAGGAAGATATGATTAGACCAATAGTTGAAAAATAAAAAAAAAACAATCACTATTCTAACACTAAAATGATTAGAAATAATTTGAACTTGTCCGATACTAAGGATGTATTTAGCCATATATTATTTACTTTCTGGTTGACTTAGTGTTCAATGTGTTAGAAACATTCTGACTGAAATTTTAATACTAAAGATATACTTAACCATATATTATCTACTTCTTGGTTTCCTTGGTATCCAGTATGTTAGAGACAGTCTGATTGAAATCTTTAATACTAAAGATATACTTAACCATATATTACTTACTTCTTGACTGTCATGATATCCAGTATGTTAGAGACAATCTGATTAAAATCTTCAATACTAAAGATATACTTAACAATATATTGTTTACTTCCTGGTTGTCTTGATAAAAAAAATGACAGGCTTATATAGATTATGTTAGTAGTGCTAACAATCGCCTGTTTATCCTTAAAATTACGTACAAGTGTTAATTTTCTTATATGTAACTATAGCATGTTTAAACTCTTCTACAGTTAATAAGAAATAGCACACTAAAGGATATTCTGGATCTCAATGAAAATGTGTAGCCTACTTCTAACATCTTAACTGTTGAAACATCCAGGAATTATTTAAAGTGTATTAAAATACTTTCTTAGTATTAAAGATGTTACACAAACTGCATCTAACACACAGGAAGTAAAATATACTAGAATACCTACATTCTCAGTATTGAAGATTTTAATCAGACTGTCTCTAACATACTGGATACCAAGACAACCAGGAAGTAAATAATATATTGTTAAGTATATCCTTACTATTCAATATTTTAATGAGACTGTCTCTAACATACTGGGACTTTAACACTCTGAACTCATAAAAATAAAACACTGTATTTCTGATAAACAAAAGTATACACATCTCCCTATCTGAATTCTAATTCCGCCAGGAGACATACTATCTCGTAGCTCCACACGGAACCAATACAAACACATGTTTTTATATATTAATTTTTTTTACATCAGAAAAACCTGTTATATATTTTTTTTCACACATTTCAAAGGTTTATCTCAATCATGAAGTGATAGACAGCATATCAAAATTCCAATATTGATTATAAGTAAGCTTTATTTCCATTAATTGTTAGTTACTTCCATGTTAAGCTTACCTTTGAAATTCTTGTTTAATCAGGCTTGTTCTCATTGCTACATGTTTTGTTTCTATTCATTTACAAGGTATTGGAACTGTCATTAAAATGCTTGGCTGTTGTATTTAAACTGTATATTTTAAACTCGTTTCATAACAGCGTTTTGCAATATTTACGTCGTTCTTCTCGTCTTACTACAATAGACGAAGCGTATATATCAGTATCTATTTGTGTAATCAAAACTCCTACGCCATCTGTTGATTGGCACCACAAACAAAAATCCATAAAACATTTCATACTTTGAGTATTTAAGATTCAGACAATTAGAAAAATAAGTGTTGTATATGAAATAACCATTTCTTTATCATAGAACACAATTTCAAATAAAGTACTCTCCTCACAAGAAGAACATGACTTTCACTAGGGCTGTACGTAAGGGTTTGGTTATATCTTTATTAAAGTAATTTTTAAATGTAGTACTGAGAAAATGGAATTCTTAACAAAAAAAAACGTATTTATTTTCAATAAACTGTACCACTTTTAATATATAAAATGTTATAGTTTAAATAAGTAAAATTTATGAAAACTTTGAGCTCTATACATTAAATCATTTGTATAGCTTTGTGCGTAATTGTAAACAAACAATAACCGACTGATGGCTCTAGCTACGATAAATGGCTTGCCTAAGAATGTATTTATGATCTTGTCTAAGATATGAATTCAATGTATTTTTAATCAGATCAGAAATTTAACATCACTGGACAAGTATAGAAATTTATTTGATTACTGTTGCTTTTTTGTGTTTCGTTTATAATATTTAATTGAGATATTTTGTGCAAGTTCCAAACAAATTATGGTCAGTTTCGCTCATAGTTTCGTGATACTAACTAAAGAAGTGATTGGTTTATTAGCCTGTGTTCTTAAGCCTTACATTCTACTCTTGACAAAAAATATGCGTAATATATATTTATATATATAATTTAATTTTTTTTTCTGACAGCAATGTTTTGAAGAAATCTACAAATTATTGGGTCTGACGAAATAAGCAAAATGTGACGTTTCACAGGATACCATAGTAACTTAGTTCACGAAAATAATCGATTTTATAACAATTTCTTCTGGTCTACATTCGACCTTACAGAGTAAATTCAAAATATCTTAGATTAGCGAAATGATTGGTTCTATCTCTTGAGTTTTAGTAAATATGAACATTGTATTATCTAGTTTATATTATTCTTTATGTTTTTGTGGCTACATATCAAATCAAATCATTAAAATCTTTAATTAAGAAGAACTTTTGTGATTTCCAGAATTTTTAACTACTTTTTTCAACTCGCATCACACGGTTCAGTACCTTTAGAACTAAATTGGACTGCTTAGGCAATTAAATAAATAATTTTCAATAGTATAACGTAATAGAACAACTTATTTATACAAATATAAGAAACTGAAAACAAAACACCTATACAAAAATTAAAAAATAGATCTTCAAAAATACGAACACGATTGGGTTACTCTTTTACCAATGAATAGTGGGATTGACCATCACGTTATAATACCCCATGATTGAAAGGGCGAGCATGTTCGGTGACGGGAATTCGAACCAGCGATCGTCAAAGTGCTAGTCATGCGTCTTACTCACTAGGCCTACTCTAACGTAAAGAACAAACTTACTTATATAAAGTAACTCAATATGCACAATGGCTACCACATATCCAAATATTTCATTAAAAATTGACTTAAATACTCTGACTAGTTCACTCTAATAACTAGAAACAATTAGTTATCATTTTAACAAAATTGAAACAGCCCTCCGAGTTTTACTATTATCTGATATTTACAATCTAACTTCGAATGTACTAGAAAAATTTACATCAAAATCTAGAATATTCTAGGCCTACTTCCATAAATTTTCTTGACCTTAACGGCGTGCACCCTCAAGCTAATATAAACAAATTACAACATTAAAAACATAGTTTATAATAAATGAATTCTGAGTTTCCAACTCGGTGGTAGACTTTACTCAGAACGTTATTGAATAACTTATTATTTTTTAATAAAACTTAATCTCGTGACGTATCCCAATTGGTGCTCCACCCCTCAAGATTTTGAGTTAACTCATTTTCAAGGTAACGGCATATACTTGAAATTTAATCTCGCTTACCGTTTTTGTTTTCTTTACTTTACACTGTTGTCTGATTAAAAACAAAAACCACGTATTTTACTACATAACTACACCTCATTCGACTTCTCTAATCAGGGATCAAGTATAGTTATAAAGTGATGATTAGCTTTATAATTTTCTCCCGGTGGAACAGCGGTAAGTCTTTGAATTTACAACGCTAAAATCAGGGGTTTGACTCCCCTCGGTGGACACAGCAGATAGCCCATTGTGGCTTTGTTTTAACAAAACACAGACTTGTAATAACGTGGAGAAATATTAAAGAAATTAATTTTCATACACGAGACTAAAATATTCGTTTAACTTAAAACTTTTCATTTTTTAGGACATGATTTGACAAACAAAACCAAAATTCGTAGTAAATTTAAAGAATGAATGTACGACAGCTAATAATACTCCCTTTTTCATAATAATTTTCCTTGATAATGAAAGGAAGTAATATATATTTGCTTTACCTGTATACTTGTTGTCTCTCCTTGAATGTGTTCATTGAGATTTATTAAAGTGTTAAAAGTATCAGCAGCTAACTTCTCCAAAACGTATTTAATTTTTACGATAAAACTTTCACTCGGTAGAAAATTCTTAAAATATGGTTGAGTAAATATAACTCTAGTATGAAAGCACTAATCCAAGTGACGTGAGTCAGTATCGGTTCAGCGAGTTTACTGTAATTAATAAAACAGTTTGACGAACTAATTCAGTTTGAAGTTCGTTATGCGTACAGGCCCTATTCTGAAAGCATAACTAATTAACAAAATAGTCGTCAATCGTGTAAACTACCAGACTCTTAGTGAATAGTATATGGCTGCTCGACAAAAATGCGCCAAGACAGTAAACAAAATGATCTTACTTTGTAGAAATTTACGACTATGTAAGCAAGGCTTTCCACCAGAATCTGCCTCAGATCAGTTAAAGCTTAATTAACACCGAATGCAAAAGACTTCTATTTCTTGAAAAAAATTTATTTTTCTCCAGTCCACAACAATACAACATAATATTTACATGTTTGATTCGAATAAAACATTATTTACATCTCTTTAAATATTTTTACCTTATGCAGCTTAGTAGTTTTGCACCATATATTTTTGTTGCACATTAAAAGATAAAGTTTATTTACAAAACAAGTAGGATAAAACAATTAGATATATCAAACTCAAGAAAACCGGAAACACTTGGGTTGTCGGGATTTTTGCATTATAAAAGAAAAAGAAATACCATTTTTTGAATAAGAATATTGTATCTTGTATACAATAAAGGAATTAGGAAAAGATATAATATCGTAAAACTAGACATCTTAGATCGTCATTATAGTGTTGATACGTTTAAAAACATGCACGAACAGACGGTGTTATTCAACACCTAATAAACAAAACTATACATAATAAACAATTAATACTAACGTTTCCCTAGACAATTATGTTTACGGGATAAACGCAATACTTAAAATATACAACTTACATTTTTAGCTCCGTGCCATTCTCATAACAAACTGTAATAAAGGAGTTTATCATATATTATAGGTTCAACAGATAGTTTGTCGAATATTGGGGGGTCTTCATGATGACGTTAATATACAATTAATAAAACAGACTTATAACACCTAGAAAATTATAAGGATGTAACGTAAAGTTTTCAAGTATATTCCAAAGTATATTATAAATACAAGGTTCCGTGAAACATCAAGAGACAGTGTAGAGTTACTTGAAGACAGAAATTTGAAGCAGTCAGTGGTGTTTTTGTGAAGTATTTGAATCTGTGTTTGATATTGCGCTTATTGAGTTACTTTGTACAAGTAAATTGAACTTACATTAATCTCATTATTGTTAGAGAGGTTGTAACGTAGGCCTACAACAAGTTATGGCAATGTCCAAAAAAATGTTAAAGGAAAAAATAAAGTAATTTGTTCTCATCACGTGAACTGAATGTAAAATTATTTTCGCTAGAAAGTTTAAAGAAACCCATCAGCTAAGTAACAATTTTCAACACTGATGTCAGAAGTGGGATATTTATTATTTTGGTGCAAACAAAATAGAACATTGAATAAACTTCAACCTTTATTCAAAATGACCACAAAGGCACAAACTGAGAGAAGAAACCTGCTAGACACGATAAAACAATGGAAAGTAGAACAAAGGAAAAGGAACAAGAAGAAATGGACAGAACACCAAAAGAACAGGACAGAAAACAAGACGAGGGAGACAGAACATTAGAAGAAAAAGATAGAAAATTAAAATAAGAACAGGACAGAAAATTTAAGAAAGAAATATGAAATTAAAAGAAGAGCAGGAAGAACAGGACGGAAATTAAGAGAGGAGTTAAATGAAAGAGATACGTTATTTAAAGAATAATTTAAACCACAAATAAAACTGATTGAAGACAAGATCGATGAAGCTTTAGGGAATATATAGAAGGATTACAACACATTTGAAAGGGATCAATGAAATCTAAAGTGAAATACAAAAGTACATCAACAAAGTCAAAAGTGAATTACGAAAGGACATCGACAAAGTCTAAAGTGAAGTAAGCAAAGACATCATTGAGATAGAAAAGAGCATCATAGAAGTAGAAAAGAACATTGGTGACAAAATAAAGCATCCAGAAAACGAATTATTAAATACAAAAATTAAACGAATCACACCTTTCTCTGAAATAGCTCAAGAGGTTCATGCAAAAATACCATCTAATACCAAATATGGACTAAGAGAACTTACTTGGTCTACTCCTATTGTAGAACATTCCTGGAACTACTTCAGCTATAATTCTACCAAATCCAGTTCTAGAATTTAGTTGGCTAATCCAACATCAGCCAATCAAGAAATCAATAGGCTATAACGAAGGTACCATGGGAGTCATACCAAGCTTAGTTCAAAATATTTTCCAGAGTGAACAAATGGAATAGCGAACAAGCCATTAACCTTGCTGACCATTTAAAATGGTCAGCTTTGACAACATAAAATAACCTTCTAGTTGAGAATTGTAACAACTATCAAGAATTGGTAACAGCTAATCCAACAGGCTCAGAGTGTCACACAGGAAATATGTATCCAGAGCAAAGTTCCATAAGAGGGTACAGAGGAAATAAGATACCTTAGTCAAACTTTTATATTTGTAAAGGTTTGTCTAATTATCTTACACGGACACTCTACGTGGAATTATGGACTCTTAGACTCATAACCTATTTATAAATGCCAAGGATATGAGAATTAGACTGAAGCAGAGTAAGTGTACATGGAACTAAAATCAATCAAGGTTTCAGATAAACAACTAAAGATAATCTCAAACATATGATGTTATCTGATCGAGTAATATTGAAACATCAACTCACATGGACGATTGCTTAGAATAACTAAAAGGATTGGTTTTACAACTAGTTGCACAAAATCGAGGGGATAAACTGTAACAAAATAAGTGTTTTAAGTGCGACTTGAAAGGACATATTGCCAAGAACAGTAAGCAGAAGCCTGTAGGGAATAAGGACTCCTCTCAAAGATATCCGAGAGAGAAAATTGTTACAGATGTGGGAAACCTGGCCTTTACAGCCGAGACTGTATGAAATCAACAGCCGTTATTAAGCCAAAAAAAGAGCCCAACCAGATCAAAGGAACTACATAGAGTACCAGACATCAAGAAAACAGGAATTGATTATATGTATGATGCAAAGTTCAGCTGGGAATATTCCATCTATTCCAACTGAGAAAAGAAGTTCATTATTTGATGAAAATCGCCCACAAGTTCATGGGATTATTTATGGAAAACCTTGCAATATGCTGATTAACAGTGGTTCTACAGCTACAATTATTCTACCAGATTTGTTAATGAAAGATGGGAACTTGCACCTAGAGATGAAAAAAGAAAGAGGATAAATGAGAATAGCAGGTGTAAATAAAGTTCCAGTGAAAAGGAAGTTTAAAGTTACTTTCAGTACAAGAAGCTTTTCAACACCTCATGATACGTGGGTAACTTACATCGAAGAAGAATGCACATTGGAAACTCACTTTCATGAGGAGACATGGATGTGAGTTTACAATAGCTTCAAATAGCATCACAGTCTATGACCAGGAAATCCTGATGCACTACACGGAAAGTACTACACCAGAGATTGAACTTCCAGTGATAACAGGTAGTACAGTCATCCCAGGAGCTATGAGCAATAAATCTTTATCTAGTGAGTGTAATGGAACCAAACATTTTGGCACGTCTTGAGAAACTCGTGGTTGGTAGAGAATTCGTGGATGTGAAGAATAAAGATATACATGACTTCATCCAGGAAATACTTAAATCAGTTTGTTATAAAACTAAAGGTAGCTCTGATGTGAATGCTTATAAAATTGGATTTTATCAAAGTGACATGTTGTGGCTTAGTAGAATTGATTCAAGAGAGGGTAAACTTCAAAGTTTAGTAGATGTTCTATAGGGCCATACATCGTAACGAAAAGAATTAATGATGTGGACTACAGAATCCGGAGAATTGACAGTTTAGTGTAGCTTCATTCTTGTGTTAGGATTATTGATGGAAATTCACCATCCAGAAACGAGTCATTGTTATCGACACACACACACACTATATGTTGTAATTTGTATGCTAGCTAGAGGTAGCCATTAGTCTTAATGACGTTAATATCAAAAGGTTTAATAAAATAGGCCTAGAACAACTTGAACATTTTTAGGATATGACGTAAAGCGTTCTAGTATATTCGAAAGTAGATTATTAATACAAGGTTTCATACGAGAGGATATAGTTAAAACAGTGTAGAGTTATTTGAAGACACAACGTTGAATTAATCGGTGTGTTTCGTGAATATTTGAGTCTGTGTTTGATATTGCGCTTATAAAGTAACTAAGTTGATTTTATGTTAGTCCTAGTATCGTTAAATAGGTTTAAATGTCATTTGTAACGTAGGCCTACAACAGGTTATTATACTGTACAAGTGTTATAGCTTGTAGAAACGTTAAAGAAGGAAATAAAGTAATTTGTTTTCATCACGTATATTGAATTATTTATCCGAATTAATTTAAATGAACTAGCCACTGCCAAAACAATGTTACAACAATAATATCTTAACGGGTTTTAGGTTCAACAGATAGTTTGTTGGTTGTTATTTAAGGCTCATAACTTATGTAAATTAATATACAGAATTATACACGGCTATTCTCTACGTCAAAATACTTTTACTTGCGAGCTTTCGGCCCCCTTACAGTAGCCTTCATCGGGCAGTAATAAAGGCAGAGAAATGTCCGTGTATAATTCTACAGATAATTTGTTGAACTCTTTCACTGCTATGGGTGCATATTTAGTATCTGTTTTAGCATTAGAAAGTGCGATATTCATTACACGTGAATTTGGATTTTTATACCACGATGAAGAAAGGGGATTCCCATTCAAACTTCCCAGAATTCACCAGTGAAATATTAAAACATGATTTTATGTTTTTACTGCGTATCTAAAAATAAATCTGGCACTGGGGAAGTTGTTTATACAGATAAATGTTTATAGAAACGTGACAGTGAAAGAGTTAACAATATATCTGAATGGATCTTAGATTCAACTGTTTAACAATATACTTAATATTCTTACGGGTTTTAATTTCGGCAGATAGTTTCTTTAACAATATAACTCGTATCATTATAGGTTTTAGATTCAACAGATAGTTTGTAACTAAACACATCTTATAAGATATTTCTACGACGTTAAATAGTGCCAACATGCTTGATGAAAAAAATCGATGAAATTATGCAAATCTGTGAAATTAACGAGAAGAATCTTCAAGTGTATCATCAGATGAAGTTTTCTGTACACACGCACACACACACACAAAAAGACTTCTCGTATATTCGATCACTTATATTTTATAATCAGGGTGTATTGATTTTATGAAATCGTGATCAGGCGAAACAAAGTGAATTAAATGTAAACAAATGTCAAACTACTTTTGAACTCCATTTTGGAAACTGTCTGCTCAGGTAACTTGCGTCACAGGATTACCACTATACGTCACTTCCTTTCTGTCACGACGATGTTTCGCAATCGCATAACGGTCAGGTCGCCAGCTACCCCTGCTGTACATTTTTTCAGGGCCTTTGACAGACCTACTAAAGCTAAAATTTACTGATATGCTAACTGGATGTAACACAGGGATAGCGTTGTCGAGACCACTAACAAATGGGGCTAGCAGTTCAGCGTCTATGGTCAACGGAACGTAGAAAGTACCTTTAGGGTGCAAGGCAAAAATTGGGACACCCGGAGACCACGAAGGAAGATGAGGACTCGGGGAACGAACACGTGTATCGATGTTATCTTTGTAATGCGTATTAAGATCTTGTTTCGGCGTGTACGACGCTGCGTCACTGTTGGTGCTGTATCCGGAGCTACTACCGGTAGACTGCACGGCTGACGAAGGGCTAGGGTTAAATCTAGAGCTGCTACTATTAGAGCTGTTACTGCTGACAGAGTCTATAGTGTTATCCCATTGGCCAGCTGTAGTAAGTCCGCCCTCTGGAGAACTTTTGTCTGGTAATTTCACCATTAGTTCACTATTGTGAAGATTCAGAGGGGAGTGCGTGAGGGGAAATGGTAAGTACCCCGCTGGCACAACAGGGGACAATGAAGAGTTTCGCACCCCACAAGGAGAGCTGCCGTTGTGTTGTGGGTATTTCAAATTATCGAAACACCTTGTGTCGTTCGTTTTTCTTTTCATAACAACGGGTGTTATATGCTGTTGTTGATCTGCAGTGAATCGTTCTTTTATGTTTTTCTTGAACTTGTATACTTCCTTGTGGAAAGCAGATGGAGAAAACTGTGGAGGATGCGGAAAAGATGAATCGAACGAAGGAAAAGGATGGCTAGTATATATACTATTAGTATTTGTGTTAATGTTGCTATTAGTGCTGTTACTACAGAAACGTCGTATTGGAAGTCCAGGGTTCTGTAACATTTCCCTGAGCTGGCTTGTGTTTTCATTTTCAGCTCCTAACTCAATATGTTTTGGTGGTTGTGAAGGAGTCTCCGCCTGAGACTGCATGGCCATTACATCAGAAGATGGCTTCAAAACCTTTGGAGGAGGTTGTTCACCACCTTCCTGGGCAGTTTGAGCAGGAGGATCATAAAATGGTGTCATCCTAGTTGTAGAGGTAGATGGCGCTCGTTGAGACTCAGAGGGCGTGTAAGATTCGATGGGAGCATCGGTACTGTTTTCTGTCGAAACTCCAGCATTCTGATAGCACGTTCCTGAAATAACCAAATCATAAAGTAAGAAATAACGTTACACTACAAACAAATTCTACCTTAAGCACCAAACATTTCGACTACGCTGTAAACATTAATGTATGGAGAAAGATCAATTTCCTTACAGATATGCTTAAGTTTTATAACTAACCATACTGCCAAATCTATGAGAGTAAGATAAATTGGTTTATTCAATATGAAAGGCCCGGCATGGCCAGGTGGTTAGAGCGCTAGACTCGCAATCTGAGGGTCGCGAGTTCGAATCCCCGTCCCACCAAACATGCTCGCCCTTTCAGCCGTGTAGGCGTTATAATGTGACGATCCATCCCACTATTCGTTGGTAAAAGAGTAGCCCAAGAGTTAGCGGTGGGTGGTGATGACTAGCTGCCTTCCTTCTAGTCTTACACTGCTAAATTAGGGACGGCTAGCGCAGATAGCCCTCGGTAGCTTTGCGCGAAATTCAAAACAAATAAACAAACAATTCAATATGAAAAATGCATAGTTTTTAGCCCCGGCATAGCGGCTCAGTAAAATGTCTCCGTTTTTTTGTTGTTGTTTTGTTTTTAAGTACAAACTTTTAGCTCATAGCTCCATCATCTCTTGACCGATTTGAGATCCAATTGCAGTTTTGGACTCAGGAGGTCAAACCCTTTCGATTGATCTATTTGTCATACACACGGTCTCATAGATTAATTTACTCTAATCCTGCCTAAAATAATTTCAATTTGAGGGTAGGCTGGTAGAGATATTGATGAGTAACAAAATCAAATCGGGTATACGCGCGCCCCACACTTGGTATTGTTGGCGCACAAAAATATAGCTAATACAAATGAAAAAAGGTCTCATATATTAAGTGCCGCGGCTATTGAAGGTTCCCTCTTGTTATACTCGGACACGTATGTAAATAAACAATATTTATTGTTTTGTTTTTAATATCTGAAGTTTAGTTGAACTTTCTAGTAAAGTCATCTCTGCAATAGTGTTACAAAAATATCACTACTGCCACCTCTCCAGCGTTTTCCTACATTTAAAATACGATAAGAAAAAAAAAGCGAAGAAAATCACGTATAAGTCACTTTTTTAAAACAGAAAAAAGAATAAAAATACATATTAATTACTTCTTAATAAATGGAGACGAGGAAAATCACGTTTTAATATATAAAAATGAGATAAAACGCGTTTCTTATTATAATAAAAAAGGAATGAAGAACGTTTAATCTTACAGTAAAATCTAATGCAGGATGTCTGATATTGATCTTACAGTGGCATGTAATGAAGGATATTTAATCTTACAGTAACATGTAATTAAAGATGTTTAATATTACACGAACACGTAATACCTTCAGTAACTTTTCTGTAGTGTTTCTGTAAGTGGCTAACCAACTGTAGCCTAAGCTGGTCTCCAGAGTACATCCTGTCTGTTTCCACTAAGAACCTTATTGCCTCGGACAGACACTCTTGAAATCCTGCGTGGTAGTGACGACGAAATTCTCGGTCATTATCCCTTGTTACATCACAATTACCTAATGCGTAAAAAAATAGGTATTCTTACATATAACTGCTTTAAAATGTAGTGATACACAGCATACACTACAAGTACCAACTTCTAATACAAGTTTAATTTACTCATGAAGTTTGGATATGTAATAATAAACTAAAAAAAAAACACGTGCTACTACAACAACTGCTGCCACCGCTTGGCAATCCCTCATACTAAACATATAAATATATTAAGGTAATATGACATTAAAATGATCTAAGAATAAATATCGGTTTATAGTATTAATTAGCAAAAAATTATATTTTCCACTTGAAAATTGTAGATGAATTTACAGACCAGTCAAAGATTCACTGTATGCGGAGAAGCTCCAATACGTTTTTTGTATGTACACACGCTGAAATAACATCGTAACTATAAATGTTACCATTATTATTCAACAGAGGGCGTTTGTTTCATAAGTGCTTATAAATTGTTTGTCGTTCACAAAAGTAAAATATTATAGCAGAAGAAATCACGAGGAAGATTCTTCATTTTAAGGCAAAAAGCTTCTGTTTTAAGGAATTACAGTATTTTTTCTCTCAGTTTAATAATACTTTTTGATAGTACTTAATAGGAACTTTAAAAAACCGTCCCTAATAATATTCTCCTCTATCTAGCGATATAACTAATGGAAATAATATCTTGTTGAAACTCCTTGTTTTTGAGTAAAGGTGCGATTTCAGTGAATCACTAACCAATCCGCTTGGAACAGAGCCAATGCAGTCAAATCTTGCTAAGTAAGTTATCTATAAAAAAAAAAAAGTCACGTGATATGCCCAGTTTTTAATGGCGAGATCTTGAAAGTTAGAATGTTTGTGTGTGTATATATATATTACACGTGAGCTATTATACTAAACGAGAAAAAAAATCAGGGTCTTAAAAATTATTGCGATTTGTATAAAAGTGACCTTCCAACTAATAATTATAAGAAATATTATATCACACAACAGAGCAATAAAGCTCTCCAAAGTTTGATTTTTTTACTGGACGAGTATCGGAGATATTAACGTGTAAGGCAATAAGTAGTTCAATAAGTTTACACGACAGACAAATGCAGCTCTTAGAAATCTGAATCTTTACACAAGTTTGCTTGAAAATAGTGAATATCTATGTCTGTGTGCTATGTATATATTACATAGCATATGAGGAAGGATATGCGAAAAAGCAATGCAGTTCTCAAAAACGTACTGAAATTAGTTTATAGGGACTGGATTTTAACGTGTGGTCATCACCGTAATCAGAGCAAATATTCTATCGAGGTCAAAGTTAAATTTAATGTTCTAACTTCCAGTTATATAGATCTGTGTATGTGAGTGTGAGCGAGTGAAAGAAACCAGAAACCAACCGAGGATATGACCTCAGTATCCTCATAGCTAGTTACGGTACTGTACAGCGTACGTACATGTGTAACATCAGTAAGTATAAATGACAGAACAATGCAGTTCTCAGAAACTTACTCGTATCTTTACGGGAGTAAGTTTGTTTAATTGTTTGTAGTTAAGCGCAAAACTACACAATGGGCTATCTGTGCTGTGTCCACCACGGGTAAGGAAACCCGATTTTTAGTGTTATAAGCCTTCAACCTTACCGCTGAGCTACTGGGGGAAGTAAGATTTAAATAAATAAAAATTTTCTCCTGTATTTACGCATATACTATAGAGTTAGAATGATGCCCCCTCGTGGCTCAGCGGTAAGCTTGAGAGCTTATAGTACTAAAATTCCTGATTCGATCCTTGCGGTGAGTAAAGCACAACTAGCATATTATACAGTTTCGTACTTAACAACAAATAAAATAATAATTCAGTTTTCAAAAACTTACTTGGATTTTTACAGGAATGGACTTGAAGATGCTTTAGGTGTTTGATGGTCATTTCGATAATCTCGGCCTTCTCTATCCTCCCTCGTCCCTAAGGAATCAAATGAAATTCATGTAGTTTTAAAGTTTACGCTTTTACATTAATTACTTTGTCGAATTAATCGAAATTCACCATTAGGAGAAGTGATAACTACACGTATGAAAAATATACACAAATTTTGGAGGACATATTAATACAAAGATGCAGTAAGTTATGCTGTAATCATTTGGCTTGGATCTTGTTAACAAAATACATTTTAAGTTGTTCTCTCTTTTATCATGTATATCAACTGTTTCAATATTTTAAGTTTATTCCAGATTTCGAAACGCCAAACATTACATTTTCAATTTAATCAAGATTTATTTACTGGCATACTTCAAATTTTATTTTCTTATATGTTTCTTCCTGAACTTCCTGGAAAATTACTGGAAGTTAACACATAAAAACTTTTATCATTCGTAGTTTTTTTTGTTTTTTTTTGTCACGACGAAAAAGTACGATTAATTTGTCAATGTTTTAAATTGTTGTATAAACCTACATTTATCGTAAAGTTTACCATTCACTTCAATACACTGCGATACACAATTGGTAAAAAAGACTGGTACCGAAGTCTGTTAAGCCTATACCTGCATTTATCGTAAAGTTTACCATTCAATTCAATACACTGCGGTACACAAATGGGGAAAAGACTGGTACTGAGGTCTGTTAAGCCTATACCTGCATTCATCGTAAAGTTTACCATTCACTTCAATACACTGCGGTACACATTTGGGAAAAAGACTGGTACTGAGGTCTGTTAAGCCTATACCTGCATTTATCGTAAAGTTTACCATTCACTTCAATACACTGCGGTACACATATGGGGAAAAGACTGGTACTGAGGTCTGTTAAGCCTATACCTACTTTTTTCATGTAACTTGTGGGAATAAGTCGACTTAGATCAGCCAGGCAATTGTTCATCCTATCTCTTCGTCTTTTCTCGATAATACGATGTGACATTGGATCCTGTAATAGTAATAACGAAAAAACGTACACGTAAATATGTGTTGAAATGAAATGATGAAGGTGATCTCCGAGACGAAAGCAAACTATCATTGAATTCGGAGCAAGATTATTGAACGCTCAGTGTAGCTCGAAGGCCCTTTTTATAGTTTTAACTCCAAAAATTAAACTCCAGTAACAGATTTAAAAAACTATATGTTTACCATTTATTTAATTGTATCTTGCTATGGGTTCTGCTTCCAAGACTTAGATCTAATTTATAGCACACACACCCCTTATACGTTATGGATAAAATAATTTTTATGCCTAATTCGCTGTAATGATGATTTTAGTTTAGTCGCCTCACTAACACTCAACATTTTAGGCCCGGATCCAGCAAGCAGTTCACAAACACTACGCAAAGCAATACCCTTGCCAATAAGTCCATTTATAAGTTTCTGTACAGAGAGCACAAAGATAACACAAGCTCTTATCGCAGTTACGTCATGAAATAAAGGTTCATTGTTTGTTAGCATATTTACAGTAAATACCATACTACATATAACAGAGTTTCTTTCCAGCAAGGTCGAACATAATTATATAAGAGTTTTTGGCCTAAATCTAAATAGGAATCAGGCAAGAAGTAAGTAAAGATTCAACTTAATTACATAGGCCACTGTAAAATTCGACGGCCTGCCAAATCAAAGCTATTGTTTTATACACACTAGAAAACAAACGTAAAAATATAACTATGTACATACTGAAGAATAAGGAGGAAAAATCATATTAGTTATGCAAAAATCACATTTCCTCTGTTAGTCTTGAAATGACGCAAGTTACCATGTGCAATGACGTCACGTGCCAAATAAGCACGTGACTGGCAAACCATCTCAGAGAGTTTTATTTTGGAAATTTCGAAATGTTTTTTGGCAGTACAGAAACCGAATCCAGGCGTTCTTTACTCGGAATATGGTAATGAGTTAATTTTAAATATTAAATAACAACATTCCTTATTCTGTAGCACAGCAATTTAAGTGACGTCAATAATGGCGTCAAAGAACGTCATACAAAGCACGCACGAACCGAGGGATTAAGAAGCATCGCCATAAATAAGAAGTAACTGTACAGTACTGAGACACCATCTCTGTGGAATATTTATCTGTTCACTTAATTGTATTTATTTTAATAATTAGGTTAATATATGTGTCTGTTTATGTGTAACGTTAATTTTACCTTACTTCAGTATCTGCAAGCTATAATCTTTTAAACATTTAATACGTTAACTTTAATTTCCCGTTTGTCTAAATTTCAATGTTCTTTTATCCTTACTCTTTACGAATGTATTTTGGACTCAAACAACCGAAATCTTTATTCACTCTTATGATTAACGTCCGTCCCACTGCATAATCATTTTAGATGACGATTCACGTATTCTGTTCCTCATCAGAAAACTTCCTTTTGGCGGGAGAACATGGACTTAAACAGTATCGATGATTGTCATGCTTTCCCCCATCTTTGTTAACAGCAAGTAAGAGTGCAACAAAGGTGATTTAACCAATAGTATTTAGTCTCTCTGTTGGGGCATATCTCTTACACGTGCATTGATTACCACTTTAAAAAAAAGCAGGCTGATCAATAATAGGCTGACGGGGTATCACGCTAGCCGACTTGATTATCAGTTTCCTTTAGCCTTGCAGCCTTACCGCATTGCGGGCACGTGACCTACAGCACGTGTATATCGACGTGCTTGTCAAACAAGGTCACCCCTACTGGTAAAAGCTCATTGGTGTGAAATTCCCAGAAATGTACAACAAAGAAATCTGCATAAGTGCATTTTTCCACGTGATAGGACATGGAACGCTTTTATCACGCGACGTAACGACCAGTTAAACACGCCATACCCCTTCACAACCCTCTTAGTTGCGTTTAATTTAACCACGGTCACTATGTAAACAATATGGTTCAACATTAAAATAAATTCCTTTACTTTCTGCCAAAGATATTTAAAATACATATGTAATGAACATAAAACTGGTATATTAAAACTAATGTTCATAAGATTTGTAAAAAATACTAACAAGTATGTGTGACAAAACAATATCATAATATGGTAATACAAGTATAGGTTAATATAATAGAAACCGTGGCACAAAGGCATTGTCTATCTTACTGTAATTGACGTAGCGTGTATGTCAGTATCTATGTATGTAACCAAAACTATTGCGCCACCTACTAAATGGCACCACAAACAAAAATCCTTAAAACATTTCACACTCTGGGTATTCAAGTTTCAGACAATTAGAAAAATAACTGTGGTATGTGCAACAACCATTTCTTTATAATAGAACACAATTTTAAATAAAAGTACTCTCCTCACAACAAGAACACAACTTTCACTAGGACTGTACGTGAGGGTTTGATTATATCTTTATTGATGTAATTTTTAAATTTATTACTGAGAAAATGGAGTTCTTAAAAACTACTATATTTTTAATAAACGGTACCATTTTTAATATATAAAAACACTACAGTTTATATTAGTAAAATTTACGAAAAGTTTGAGCTCTGTACTTTGACTCATTTTGATGCAATGAGTTGCGTATGACTAAAGAGCACAATCCTAACACTTTTCCCGTGCAGTAGGACGGCCTTTCTGCTAGTAGTAATAATAAAAGTTTAATCGCACTTTATAAAAACAATTTGCATATTCTAATAAAGGGGTGTGCTGTCGAAGATGCAAGCCATAGCATCAGGGATGACATATTTGGCCCCTACACGATTCACATTAAGTTTCCCGCTATTCTCGGCACAGGAATCTTATGGCCGAAAAGTTTACAAGACCTTTCTGAAAAGAGATATTCATACAACGAGATTTTTAAATGACACGATATTTCAAAAAACCTTCAGTGTTCTCCACGGAAGTAGAGAAAGTATCACAGAAAAGCAAAGTGAAGGCTATGGTTATGCAAGAGAACCCTTCAACCCAAAAAAAACAAAAACATTACGATAGAGCTGGGCTTATCTTCTGGTACCATTAACAAGATGATAAATAAAAAAAATTAGATGTTTACAAAGGCTTACAAGCCAAACGGTCAGAAATGTTTCAGGTACACCTCGAAATAAACGAAAACACTGGAATTACAGCAATACCACTTAACCACTACAAAAATTGTAGAAACATTTGTTAATTTCTAATTTATTTATTTTTTTTGTTAATATGGAAATAGTCCACCAGCAGACAATACAACATTAACACGATGTAAAGTTAATGAAGATTTGACCATTTCAAGAACTGACCATAGAGTGTCGAAAAACACTTAACTCTGCTGATTGTGATGACCAAGTTAGATGTTTAAACTCTTTGAATCAACCCTTAACAACTTCAGCAGCATGAATTGGTACATTATCTTCTGGAATAAAGTTTTTATCTTGGGGTGAACCTGGTCTGAAAAATGATTCGAGTAATAATTTGATGTAACTCGACTTTTCATTGAGATCATAGGCCCTAAACTAGTCCAACAAAAAGCTGTCCTTTATTATCACAGAGTCTCTACTATGCTTAACTGATGGCATAAGACTTTCAAGGTTGTAAGCTTCTTTTGGTTTTTACCACACATAAACACGCCCATTTGATGAGAAAAGTGAAAAAGATGAATCATAGAATCAAAGCACATTTTCCGATTGATTTTTAGTCTAAAGTTTATACTCTCTATGCCATTTTACTCGGGGTTCTGCTTTTTTTTAGTGTTATTAGAGGTTTGAAACGGCATACACACCATGGTAACCTATATCAACTACTCCTGGAGTGTGTAGGAGGGGGTTGAGAGAGATTGGTTTTTGTAGGCTAAACCAGAGGTGTTCAAACTTCGGCATGTGGAATTTATCCGGGGGGGGGGGGGGGCGTGTAAAACTGCATGAAAAATTAGAATATGAAACTTACGTTATTATATAATTATATCTGTTGGAACTTGTGATGAACTATATTTTCTAATACTGGCTTAGCCTTCAGTTCTGTGCCCACTTTTAACACTGTAGTATGCGTTTTTTCGTCTCACTATTCTGACACCTCAGATGGTCTAATATGGTTTTATTTTTCGATATCCATGCTGACATCACTTTTAATATTCTACTCATACACAATTGAATTGAATGATATATCGAATAACTCAATGTAAAAATAAATTACCATGTAGTTATGTTTTCCCTCTTAGAGACACCAAAACGTGGAGCTAAAAAAAGGTCGCATTTCCATTAATTTTTTTCTAAACCTTGTTTACGTCATGTCCCTCAGTGTAGCGACAACAGACTTTCGTGCCTTTGAGCCACTTAAACATGATCTTGGAAGCTGACGCCCACGTATATTGGAGGATCTGTAAAAAGTTACCAAAACGTGTGATCTATGACCTCGCTGTCCTTCGCAGAAGCTTGTTACAATATATATTGTAAAGTTGGACAATCCTGGTTCTAATGAGACTGGCAGTGGAGGAAGTAGTTCAGAGGGCAGCACGGGAACCTGGAACATTGTTCCTACAAAGTCTAACAAACCCTAAGAAAACTTTATATTTGTGTAGTCGGCGATATTTGAAAATGAGAAGAAAAAAAAAAGCTTCACGGGAAAACACAGTTATGTAATTTTGAATATCTGAAAGTAAAACTGTACAAAACTTCTGAAGGTTTTATATTTACATTTTGGCTCATGTCTTTGAGTTGTTGTATATGTATTTGTAAAAATAAGAAGAGAATTGTGCCCCCCCCCTGGTGCCAAGAGGGGCGCTTATAATATAACCTAGTGTAAAACAGAGAAGTAAAAAACAAATACATATGATACTTTTTATTGCTATCTTAGTATACGAATTTAAGACTAACCTATATCATCTAAAATACTTTTGGGATTATAGCCGAAAATATCGCTAATAACGAAGGTATCTAACTGATTATTCGATGCATCCCTAATCAACGTATGTTTTTAAGTTTGTTTTTATTTATGGCATTAAGTCCTTCTAATCGGGTTATGTACAATTAGTCTTCATTAATTTATAAGTTGTGTTTTAATTATTAGTTTGTTAATAATAACAAAGTTTTAATAATCAAACAACATATGCACCTATGTGACCTGGAGAAATAGATTATTGAGTTTACTGAAAAAAACTGTTTGAACTATACATTGCTTAGAAAAGATGGAATGGGATTGGTCAAATCATGCACGTGCTTATAAATACACTTACATATTAACATCATTCGTAGGAATATTTTAAAGTTACTGATTGATGCAAGGGTGAATTTCAATCGTTACTTGTTGTTGTTTATTATTAAGCACAAAGCTACACAAAGGGCTATCCGTGCTCTGCCCACAACGGGTATCGAAACCCGGTTTCTAGCAGTGTAAATCCGCAGACATATCGCTGTGCCACTGGGGGGCGCCGTTACTTACTCAAACCGGTATGCAGTACTAACAAATGATTTTAGAGTTGGTGCTGCATATTGACATAAAATTCTCTATAAATTCATCCCGGGTTAATACGTTTAAAGATGGTGAGGATTGCACTTTTTGTCTCCTTACTTTATATTTTACAGAGATTAAAAAGAAGCAAAGCACAAACCCATGCACAAATATACATCGCCATTTTCATAATTTCGTCTCTATATAATCAATCGCATGACAAAATTTAAAGGATATAGATCA